CTTAGTTTCCTACCTTCATTCCCATACCAAATTTCAAGTTTTGTACCTCTTTCCGTTCACATAATAACAAGAGGTACCATTTTACCAGTTTAGTACCATTTTAGAACTCGTTGTAACCTAAAATTTCGAATTTCCACAAACCCATTGGTTCATCTATCCTGCACCCCATCAGCGACTTGTATTCCAAATTTCCGAATTCTAGCTCATTCGGTTTGGCTTATACAAAGTACAAGTCATTGTGTACAATAATTGGTCCTCTTTCTATAGACTTCTCCTCCCCCATTAGAAGTCCTTTTCGACACGAGCATTTTGTCCCTTAAAAACAAGAGGATTTGTCCTCCCAAAAAAAACCTTAATGCCTTTTTACATAGACTTCTGATACAGGGTGAGATAAAAAAAAACTGCAACAACGTCAAACACCTTAATTTTTAATTTTTTTTATTTAACTGAATGAAAGCAAAAAATGTCGGAGCGGAGAGCGATCATCGGCTGATATGGCGGCCCACACCATCACCATGACCGGCTCTTGAGTTCTGGTGGCCAACCGAAGGTGCACATTTCCAGCTGACCTCTTTGGCAAGTAAACACGATCATTTTGTTTGTTTACAAACTGCTGGACAACGAATGTTTTCTCATCGGCGACGAGAAAACCAACTCTTTAGCTCTTTTTAGCCAATTCTCTTTCTTTTGCGGTGTAATTTCTTGCACTTTTTGGAATTTCAATGGTTTTATTCCAAGCTCAGTTTTCAATATTTGCCGAATGGAATATCGCGATATGTTCAGCTCACGAGCCAATTTTCGGCCACTGAGACGTGGGTTCCGATCAAGTCGCTTCTTCACTTTTCGAACCATTTCTGCTGTTTTCTTCCTTCCACTTCCTCGACGTCTGGCTACGCTACCAGTATCACGGTAACGAGCAATGGTACGAGACACAAAAGATTTATTCACATTTAAATGCGGGAGTGCTCTAACGATAGCCATTTGAGGTTTTCCAGCCAAATATTAAGAAATCACACTATCACGCTTGAATTCCGAATTTACGAATAACTTTTTTCCTGGAAAATTCTCACCAAAATGCTTGTGTACGCTTGTAAACAATATAATGAGCTGTCACTGGAATAATTTTAATAAGTGTCGGATGAGTGGCTTAGAAATGACAGCAGTATGAAATTGGTTGCAGTGTTTTCATCTCAACCTGTATATAGAGGAGATCTCGTCACTTGGGTAAAAAAATGTTTTTTTGTCATAGAAGTTATTTTTAAAATAACTTCTGGGGAGAATATCCCAGACAAAAAACAAGGGAACTGATGAGGATTGGTGGCTCTTTCCGAAACCTAGGTATTCCCTGCCTTACCCCCTGGTAAACATTACCATCGTTCTCCACTAATAAACAGACGTTGTTTTTATAAAAACAACAATAAAGGGATAAAGCCTGACCATTTTGCAACAACAGGAGATGTATTTCTGTACTTTTTTTTTTTTTGTTCTCTTTCCTTTCTTTAGAAGACCTTCTCCTCCACTTTTAGAAGACCTTCTTCAACACAACTCTCTGGTCTTTTTCTAAAAGATAATCTGTCCTCCAAACAAAACTCATCGATTGCCTCCTTAAAGCCTGATCATTTGCAACAACAGGAGATGTATTTCTGTATTTTTTTGTTCTCTTTCCTTTCTTTAGAAGACCTTCTCCTCCACTTTTAGAAGACCTTCTTCAACACGACTCTCTGGTCTTTTTCTAAAAGATAATCTGTCCTCCAAACAAAACTCATCGATTGCCTCCTTAAAGTCTTTTTTTACATAGCCTTCTGATCGAGTATTTTAAGACTCTTTGGTCTTTAGTCTAACATTTTTGTAAGATTTTTTCCGACACAATCTGGTCCAACAGATCAAGACCACCTTATCAAACGTAATATCTATTCATATTAACTTATCTCATTTGTAATGAATAATCAATATTTTGTGATTTCATTTTTAATTTTTCAATATTATTTTTGTGTGTGTTTGAAATTTGTGTAAGTGTTGGGCTGGCGGTCGAATTGTCTGGTCTGGCTGTCTGGTTTTAACCATTTAAGGTTAAAATTATGTTTGTTGTTTTTTTTAATTTTTTGTGGTGGCATTTCAAAAAGAAAACCACAACAGCAAAAACAAGTTGTTTAATTTCTGTTTTAAACAGCAACAACGACAAAAAGTCATATGGTGGCATGTTAGAAATCTCAACGTGGGCGTATGAGTGTTTCAAACTTGTCAATAAAACACTCATACGTAAATTTGTTCAAACAAGATTGCTTATCAAAAAAAATGTTGAATGTCATTCCGTTGAAGATTCAATTCAGAGTTAATGTTTTAATTATCAAAAAAAACATTAATGTCTCATTATTTGCGATATTTGAAAAAAAGTAATGGAAATTAAATATGCATTTGTAATTGTTTGAAATTTATTAGCAAATTTTATATCAAATATTTAAAAATACATTTTGCATTGGGGAGCAGAGAGAAAGAGAAGAAGGCAAGGGAAGTTATTGAAAAAAATAACTCGAAATTCAAACCAGTTGCCTTCCATGGAAGTCAAAACCGAGGAGATCATTATTAAATAATCATTGCTTAAATTGTCAGCAAAATGAAACCGAAAGCAAATAAAAATGAAAAAAAAAATCGAAAAAAAAACATACAGAGGTGTATTAATAAATAAAGATTAATTTCACAAAACCTGTGGATACACACCGCCAAACACAAAACCGGCACTTAAAGTATGACATAAATATTTTTTATAATTAGATAATTTAATTATGCAATTATTTATGATGAGATTATTAGTGAATATTCGAACAAAAAAAAAAAAAAAAAAAAAAAAAAAATATATATATATATATATATATATATATATATATATATATATATATATATATATATACATATATATATATATATATATATATATATATATAAGTATTGATATTTCGACAACCGTTGGTATCTAAGGTTGAAATTTGGAGGTGGGTTTGTAAATGTGTCCTATCTTTGTAAGAAAAGAAAAGAAATGGTACTAAATAGGGCTCTGCGTGAAGGGATAGAGCTGAAATCGTAACATGTGGTCTCTGGGATTGAGATATTGAGGTAGTTTTGGAAATGTGAACTATAATTGCACGATAAGTAGTAGTACTAAATAGTACTAAATTTGGTACTGAGTGAGGGAATAGAGCTGAAATCCTGAAATTTGATATAGATGTCACTTTTGTCACGAAAAGTACCAAGTGGTACAAAATTGGATATTTGGTAAGGGGGATAGAACTGGAGTCCCGAAATTTCATACTGAGGTCTCTGGTGGTATCTGGAATTGAGTATAAAGTGGGTTTTCAAAATGTGTACCATAAAAGTACTAAATTTAGTATTGGGTGAAGAAATAGAATTGGAATCTTGAAATTTTGATTTTTAAGCCGCTATTGGTGTCTTTGGAAATATGTATTCTAATTGTTCGAAAATTACTAAGTTGTTCTAAATTTGGTACTGAGTAAGGGAATAGAACTGGAAACCCAAAATTTAATAAAGATCATTCATTTAGTATCTAAGGTTGAGATATGGGCATTGTTTTGGAATCCTAAAATTTGATATGGAGGTGTCTTTAGTTAAAATATGAAAATGGTTTTGGAAATATACACTAAACTTGCTCGAAAAGTACCAAGTGGTACTAAATTGGACATTGGGTGAAGGGATATGTCTAGAAACCTCAAATTTAGTATGGAGGCTTCCATTGGTTTACTGGGTGAAAGGATAGAGCTGGAGTCCTGTAATTTGCTTTGGAGGCCGCTTTTGGTGTTTTTGGATAAAATTTGAAGATGGTTTTGGAAATATGTACTACAATTTCTCGAAAAGTACCAAGTGGTACTAAATTCGATATTGGGTGAAGGAATATGTCTAGAAACCTCAAATTAGTTATGGAGGCCTCTGTAGGTTTAGATTTTTGAGAGAAGGAAGTGGATTTGGAAATGCTTACTATGATTTTTCGAAAAGTACTAAATGGTACTAAAATTTGGCCTTAAGTGAATGGATACAGTTTGAATCCTGAAATTTGATATTGAGGCCAGCGTTGGCTTCTACGATTTAGCCAACAATTTTTTTTATCTCCAGCAGGCCTTCTAAAAGAGGTAAAATATTCTTGTTCTTCTAAGAGTAAAATTCCGTTGGGTGCCGCTTTTGGCCGTAACACTAAATAATGGGCCTACAATAAAAATTTCCTTAAAAAAGGGGAAGGGATGAAAAGGAAATTCCAAAAAATACCCCCGAATTTAGTTAGAAAATGTGCAAATCATGGAGCCAACTTTGGGGTCAATATTAACCCTGAACTCCACCGAACATTTTCTGCAAGGAGGGTCTAGAACTTCTTGGAATTGGCAGCCCCCAGTTATAATTGGTTTGCTTTAGAAATTTTTTTTCAAACTTTTAAAATACTTTAAATTCGAAGCTATAGATGTATGAGGTTTTTTTTTACCAAATACTGGACCTATATTTAGCACTTTTGACAGAAAGAGATTCCAACATATCTTGCCAACCAATTCTATTGAAATGTGGAACTAAACCCACTAAACTATTGTATATCAAAAGTTACTGCTATAGCACGAGGTTATAATGGATCTGCGTAGAACATGTCCTTCAGGGAAAGTTTATATCCCTACAATGACATACCTTACGTGGCATATTGAAGATATTTGATAACATTTATACATCATGAGATACCTAAATTTCAAATTACATTTTAGGGAAAGGGTGGGCAAAACCCTTAAAAAATGTCAAAATCTGGATCTATGCCAAATTTAATAATATTTTCTTCAAGAAGATCAGAAGAAAGCTAAAAAAAATAAATCAGAAGATCTAATTTGAGAAGGCATGAATATCTTAAAAAGGTTCAGAAGATCTTCCTTCTTCTTCTTCAAGCAAAAATACCAAAGATTCAAAATTTAAAATCAATATTTGTTTTAAATCTAAAAATTCTTCTTTATCTCACTTACCATTTTTTCCGGTTAAATTATTCTCCTTTCTCTGCTTTCAAAAAAGTATCCTTTAAATGCGTTTGTTTCGCACTAGTATTCCTATTTCGTTACGTTTTTTCAAAGTTTTTGCTTTTCTGCAAACGGTTTTTTATTTATTTTATTTCCGCTCTTGTTCTCTTGTTACAAATATCTTCACAATTCGTTCAATTAATTCTTCTTTGGTTTTTTCTCAATCTAATTGAAATATAAAATTTTCGATAAAAATAAATTTTACACAACGACGTTTTGAAAATTTTCTTCAAAAAAATATATTTTTTAATGACAAATTTCTCTTTCGTTCGTTTGATTTTTTTTATTTTCAGAATAAAAATGACAATAGTCCCTTGGATACCGAGGCAATAGTTACGGCTTTTCAAAACAAAGTATTTTCCACATTGGATGCCGACAAACAACTGGCAAACGACGACGACGACGACAACAAGTGTTACGTGGAAGAAACTACGAACAACAATAATAATAAAGGCTTAAATGGTAAGTAAACAGAGAGCAAATGCGCCACCAAACCAAATCCCACAACTACGATTCAACCCCACTTACTCATTGCAAAAGGAACAATAACAACAAAACCCAACACCTCTTTAAAACAAAGGCCTCCCATTTGGGAGGTTTGCACTCAGTCACTGTAACCCTGAGACAAGGGAGAATTACAATAATAATTGTAGTAAGGTCATGTTTACATGATATGCCGCTCTTCTCACAATACACTTACTCTCTTTCTCACACACTCGCTCTTCCTCTCAGCCACTGTACTCTGTACTGTGCCCCACCACATTGCATTACAGTTGTTGATATTGTTTTTTTTTTACATAGCTACTCCCTGTAAAATCAATGTCAAGGGGTGGCAAATTGGGTGCAGTTATGTCTCTCAACTCTTTTGTGTGTCTGTCTGTCGGTCTCTCTGAGTATCAGAGCATTTGTGGTTAACCACGTTTATGCAATTTAAATTTCATTCAGTGTTGAGTTTTTTGTTTCTTTTTGTTCTTGTTTTTTTTTTTTTGGTTTTAACAAGGTTATGGTTTTTCACATCTGGAAAACGCGTAATAAAATGAAATTGTCACCCCACCGAGGCGCCTCTCCCTTCTCCTCAACCTCCTCAAAAAAGATAAAAGAAAACTACCGACCAGCATTACATATGGGGGACTGCGTGTGCATCATCAGTAAGTTGGCATGACGGAGAGGCAGTCAGAGGGAGAGACGTGTGTGTGTGTCTTTTGCAATATTCAAAGGAGTGTTCCTCTTATTTCCCGTTATGTCAACAATTGTTTTTTTTTTTTTCTCAAATATGGCGGGCTTAACATTTTCCATAACGTTAATACCCAAAGTCATTTTCATGGATATCAAGAAAATCCCTTGGGAAATTTTCAAGCAATTCTAAAATGTAAAGGTCAATGTGAAATTGTGACCTTGAAATGGGAATTCGGGGTACGATAATAGTTTAAAAATTAAAGATAAATGCCCAGAGACATTTTCATGGTTATGAAGAACATCTCTTGGGAAATTTAAAGCCATTCTATAGTGGAAAGGTTGGAGTGAAATAGTGACTTTGAAATGGGTATTTCGGATGAAGTATCTAAATGACTGACTTAGAATCAACGGCTGAAGCTAGAATCTTGAAATTTTGCATGAGGGTCAATCTTGGTTCGTAGGCGTGTCTACAGCTTGATTTTTGGAAATTAGTACTAAAATGATACCAAAAGTACTAAAATGTACTAAAAGTACTAACATTTACTAAAAATGTTATGCTTTGCATTGGACAAATGGAATGGGCTAGAAATCTGAAATTTTGGAATGTGATGGTGTGCAGAATAGATGTACTAAAGGGTGTTTGGTAATTCCAACTTTAAGGTGACGAAAAGTTCTAAAATGGTACTAAACTTCTAAAAGGGTACAATATGGTATTGTGTGAACGGATCAGAGCTACACAACTTGAATCTTGGTATGAAAATCAAGGTTGAAAAGTAGGTTTAATATATGAAGGTGGTTTCGGAAATGTGTACCAAGTGTGCGAACTGTACTAAATGGTACTAAATTTAGAACAGCTTGGTTTAGGTTGAAGGTATTGGGATGGAATTTTGAAATTTTTTATTGGGGTCCCTGTTGGTAGTCATTTTGTGATAAAAAATGTGCTTTTAGAAATGTGTACAACAGGTGCACGGAAGGTACTAAATAGTACTATATTCGGTACAATTTAGTTTTGGGTGAAGATAATGTGCTTGAAATCTGAAATTTGGCATTCGGGTCGCTGGGACATGGAGGGATGGTTTCAGAAATATGTACTATAATTGTACGAAAAGTACTAAATGGTACTAATTTGTGTATTTGGTGGAGGGATAGAGATGGAACCCTGAAATTTGATATTTCGATTACAAATGGCATCTGGGTTTGATATTTAGCAGTGGTTTTCGAACATTGGTTCGAAATGGTACTAAATTTGGTATAGCGGGAGGGATAGGGCTGAAATCCTCAAATTTGATATTCAGGTCTCCGTTGGTATCTGGAATTGAGATATAGAGGTGGGTTTTGAAATGTGTACTACATTTGTGCGAAAAGTACTAAATGGTACTTATTTGAGTATTTAGTGTAGGGATAGAGCCGAAACCCTGAAATTTGACATTTAGATTACTGAAGGCATATGGGTTCTAAATTTGGCAGTGGTATGGAAATATGTCCTACATTTTTACGAAAAGTACTAAATGGTACTAAATTTGGTATAGTGGGAGGGGATAGGGCTGGAATCCTCAAATTTGACATTAAGGTCTCTGTTGGTATAAGGATTTGAGATATAGATGTGGGTTTTGAAATGTGTACTATATTTGTACGAAAAGTACGAAATGGTACTAAATTTGGTATAGGGGGAAGGGATAGGTCTGGAATCCTAAAATTTGTTATAGTAGTCAGTGTTGGTGTCTGGGTTTGATATTTGGCGGTGGTTTTGAATGTGTCCCATATGTGTACAAAACGTACTAAATGGTACTATAATTCGTATTGGGTCAAGGAATAGAGCTGAAATCCTGAAATTTGGTACAAAAGTCACTTTTGTTGTCTATGGTTAAGATATGGCGATGGTTTTGGAAATGCGTACTATAATTGTACGAAAACTACCAAATGGTACTATTTGGTATAAATTCAAATAAATTTGATATAAATTCGAGGAAATGAGATATAAAGGTGGTTTTGGAAATGTGTACTATAATTGTACGAAAAGTGTTACATGGTACTAAATTTGGTATTGGGTGAAGGGATAGAAATAATGTTTTGAAATTTAATATTTTGATTACTGATGCTATCTGGAATTGAGATATGGAGGTAATTTTGGAAATATGTACTATAATTGTACAAAAAATACAAAATTGTACTAAATTTGGTATTGGGCGAAGGAATAGTACTGAAATCCTGAAATTTGATATTTAGATAACTGTTGGTATTGGGTGAAGATATAGGGCTGGAATTCTCAAATTCGATATTGAGAACTCTGTTGGCATTTGGGATTGAACTATGAAGGTGGTTTTGGAAATATGTACTATATTTGTACAAAAAGTAATAAATGATACTCAATTTGGTATTGAAATTTCAACAAAAAAATAATAATTAAAGTCCACAGTTTTTTTTCAAGACTGTTTTTTCCAAGAACCAAACAATTGTGCATTCCTTTGAGAATTTATTTTTTTGTGTTTGCCAACGACCTTAATTTTGAAATATCTTTCAATTCTTTATTCTTTTGTTGTTATGTGACAATATTGTGGCGATAAATAAAATAATAATAATAAAAAATATTGCTAAGAAAAACGTAATAAAAACGCATACCGACACACTTTGCCACATAAATCAAACAGGTAGATTGATAAAAGAAAACTAAAATAGAATTGAAAGCAAATGACGTTACCACCTTGACTTTCAAATGCAATGTCCAGTCAAAGATAAAAAAGGCGTTGGAATTTCTATGGAACAAACAAATACAACAGCTGAGAACGTGCACTCGAATATAAAAAACGGTTTAATGTATTAACCAATTAGACAGCCCTCAATTTCAAAGTGACTAATATTTTTGTTCCAAATGGTTGCGATTGCATAAGTTTTTGAACAAAATTTCACGTAAAGATATTTTTTCGATTAACAAAAAAAAGAAACCAAATTGTGCGAAATATATCTCAAATTTTTGGGGTGTCTTTGTCCGGGATCAAGGCTATATACAAGCCTTACAAAAGTTTGTTCCAAGAATTTAAAACGCTTTTGGACTATTGACCCCTTTAGCAATTTCCAAAGACCAGAAAGGCCATTGAATAGTGAAATTATATGAAAGTTTGCAACGATTTCAGAAAAAGTACCGAAAATGTAAAATAGGTTCTTTATAAACCGAAATTGATGATAAATTTTCTAAGGTACGTATAACATATACAAATTTCCTTTGTTCAGAGACTCGAATTGAAATTTGATCTCGAATATATTTTCCTTTGACACTTTCCTCAAAAAATCAAATATTAAGGATGATTTTGCCTTAGAATGGAAAAATGTTAAATTAACAGAAAAAAATATAAACACATAGTTTTCACTTGTAATAATAGAAATTCAAGTGTAATTTTCTTATAAATTATTAAACCTAGATATGTGGTTTATTCTGAGATTCATAATGAAATTTTCTGTGGAATATTTCCTCCTTTGACACTTTTCCCGAAAACTTAAATTTAAAGGGAAATTTTGACTTAGAATTGCAATATGTTATATTAACAGTAAAAATGTAAAACGCACAAATTTTACTGGTGATATAAAAATTTCGAATGTAATTTTATTAAAAATCTTTGTACCAAGGTATATGGTTTATTCTGAAAGTTTTATTGAAATATTGTGTAGAATATTTCCTCCTTTGACACTTTCTCCGAAATCCCAAATATTAAGGCAGATTTTGACTTAGAATGGAAACATGTTATATTAACAGAAAAATGTAAACACATAATTTTCACTTGTAATGATAGAAATTCGAGTGTTATTTTCTTAAAAACTATTAAATCTAGATTTGTGGTTTATTCTGAGATTCATAATGAAATTTTGTGTAGAATATTTCCCCCTTTAACACTTTCCCCGAAAGCTCAAAAAATAAGGGAGATTTTGACTTAGAATTGAAATATGTTAAACTAACAGTAAAAAAAAATTCTAGACAATTTTAACATAAAATAATTTTCGAATGTAATTTTCTTAAAAACCATTGTACCTAGATATATGGTTTATTCTGAGAGTTATATCGAAATGTTGTGTAGAATACTTCCCGCTTTGACATTTTCCCCAAAAAATGAAGTATTAAGGGAGATTTTTGCATAAAATGGGAACATGCTAAATTAACAGCAAAGCAATGTTAACATATTTTTTCACCTTTAATACACATAAATTCGAATATAATTTTCTTAAAAACTATTGTACCTAGATATATTGTTTATTTTGAGAATTATATTGAAATATTGTGTAAAATATTATCTCCT